TTTTGCACACCATTCAATGCACTTCTTTAATCCATTTTATCTTGTAATTTGTATATTAAAAAATTATAAAAATTATATATTAATAATTTATATGTTAAGACAAATCAAACAAGATCACACATGACTATTTTTAGACTTACACATTGAGAGAATTTGATGAGTCAAAGTACTTAGATGAACAGTTCTAAAAGTCAAAACTGGACAAAAAGAGTGGGACGGAGGTAGTAATAATAAGAAATGAGTGCTTCACTCCCATAATGCCAATCCCAATTAAACAACACACCCCCTATTTCCTACATTACACATGCACAAACACGAATCTGAGCTAGCCAAACCACCTCGCAACTTTTGGGCCAAATATAATACGCAGAAAATGAAACATGAAAAACTTTTTGGGACGGAGGGAGTAATTATCTAATTGTACTATAAGAAAATACGAAGCTTGTTTTTAAATATATTCCGTAATTTAATCTACAATGGGCCTGTTTGGGAACAACGTTAGAGTTTAGAGTTAGAGTTTAGAGTCAGAGTTTAGAGTTAGAGATTAGCTGTTTGCATTAGAGTTGGTGATTAGCTGTTTGATTTTTTGTCGTTTGGCAGTAAATCACTTAAAAAAGCTAATGTGGTGTAAATTACAAAAACATCCATTTCGACATGTACTCTAAAATTTAAAACTTTGTGTTGATTTTAATTTTATTTCGGTCACTTTAAACAAAGGAGGGGTAAAACAATTGTTAAATTTGCAGAATACATATGCCAATAGTCTAATATACTCTGCAAATTCTCACGCCTCTCCCAGTCAGCCAGTCTAATATACTTTGCAGAATTTTTCAAACTTTTCTCCTTCCTCTTCCTTTCCTCTAACACTTTAACTCCCTATCTCATTACCCATTTACAGTAAATTTAAAAAAAAAACAGATTCTATTATACTAAAAAAACAGATTCTGAATCTTAAACAGCAACCCTGAATACATCACTCCGCCAAGAAACACAACAGAGTCCAAAACTAAAATTGAATCTTTCAAGGCCAAGAAACACAACAGAGTCCCAATAAACATACAAATTTTAAAAAAACAGATTCTATTATATTACTATACCACTCAAATCAACTAAAATATTTTTTAAAATAAAAAATTACAAACATGAGTAAAGAATTCTATGGGCTACAAAAATCATATTAGCAAAAAAAACTGAAATACTTACTTGCAATGAATCTGAGGCCTCCATCGAGCTGCTCAAGAACCCTATTTTTGTGATCCCCAAATCGTGAATTTATTCGGGAAGAATATAAGATTAGGCGGTAAGATTTCCCTCTAAAATTTTCATGGGTAAAAGAGGAAAATTGATCTCAATCGCTAAATTAGGGATAAGAACGCTGGAGGGTGTGAGCTTTCTGCGTTTAGCCGCGCGGAAGAGTCGGGAGGAGGAGAGAGACGAAAAACGCTGGAGTAAAATTAGGTCAAACAAACGCTAAAAATACTAAACGCAGCTTTTGGGCTGTAAAACGCCAGTACCAAACAGGCCCAATAGCTAGTTAGGAAAATGGTCAAATATCTTTTAATGAATAATTAATACAAGGAAAAATTATCCAAAATAATCCCAACTTTACCCGGTCTTTCAAAAATAATCTCACCTTTCACTGTGATGTATAATAATCCCAACTTTATTGAAATTTGCCAATTTTGGGTCGCCGTTAAGTTTCTAACGGAGGGTTAACGGAAATGCCCGTTTTAGGAAACAAAATTAAAGTTGGGATTATTTTTGATGAATTTTTGTTTTTTAATTTTTTTTGAAATTTTTATTTAAATTTTTGAATTACTTTCAACCTTCATTTCTTTTTCTTTTTTAAAGATTATTCTTCCCTTAGAAAAAAAAGATATAAAAAATAATGAAAATGAGAAAAATAACCAAAACCATACAAAATTAATCAAATAAATAATGTAATCAATAGAAATTAAACAGAAACTGGTAAGAAATAAAATAAATATATACGGAGTGGTGGGTTTTAACATTTTACAAACTATACGGAGTCTTAATGTACTACTTATTTTTTAAAAAAACAAGTCGTCATGTAAAGTTAGAATTATTGTAGATAATTTTTTATAAAAAATAAGAATTGATATGTTAATACTTTGTATAGTGCGTAAAATATTAAACCCACCCGTATATTTTTATTTTACTTTTACCAATTTCAAGTTAGTTTCCATTGATTACCTTATTTATTTTATTATTTTTGTATCATTTTAGTTACATTTCTCATTTTTTTCATTTTTTTATATCTATTATTTTATTTTTTTAAACTAAGACTAATCTTTAAAAAAGGAAAAAGAAATGATGATGGAGGTAGAAAGTAATTTTAAAAATTTAAATGAAAAATTTAAAAAAAATAAAAAAAATGAAAATTCATCAAAAATAATCCCAACTTTCATTTTGTTGCCTAAAACGGGCATTTCCGTTAACCCTCCATTAGAAACTTAACGGCGACCCAAAACTGGCAAATTTCAGTAAAGTTGGGATTATTATGCATTACAGTGAAAGTTGAGATTATTTTTGAAAGACAGTAAAATTAGGATTATTTTGGGTAATTTTTCCTTGATACAATTAACCAATCAAAATAAATTAACTCAATCAAGTATTCCAAACAAATCAACACAAACAATTACCGTAAATAAAAAAAGCCCAAACAAATAGTAGTTGTGAAAATATGGAACCCGGAGTACAATTCATTAATTAATATCCGTTCTCCGACACGAAACTAATTGGACGGGCATGGATGACTCAACTAGTAGTTGGACAAACTCGAGTATTAATTAATACTCCATTCAATCTCATAAAAATAGTGGAACGTCTAACCCGGATGTTCCCATATCCCCATTCGATAGGATTGTGAGTGAGGTAAATAATGGTACGATCTTAATTTAGTTTTTAGAAATATTGTTCCGTGCTCAATGCACACAAATGATAACTCTTACACTACCGCTATCAAGATTTAACTTTAATATCAATGGACTTGACATCTTCTCCTTGGACTAATTGACTTAGCCATACGGGCTTATTCAATCTCATACAAAAAGTTACGGAATATTATTAATTTATAACTTAACATAAATTATATTTAAACAAATATAAATATTTTGTTAAAATTCCTTTAAGTAGAAGAGAAATCACATAACACTTCTGTTTCTTACTTTAAGAATAATTAAATGCTCCCTATGTCCATAAACGTTCTTCACTTTTGACTTTTTACGGTCTTCAATATTGCACTTTGACCATTAGTATTTATATTTATACATAAATATATTTTATAAAAATTTAATATTTCAAAACTACGTTTCATTAAGAATACATTGATATTATATTTATATCATAGTACAATGTATTTTTTCCACAAATTGGAGTTAATGTTTATAAACTTTGACTAAGAAAAGTCAAATTTGAAGAACATTTCTGGATAAAAAAAGTACATAAAAACGTGTTTTGATCTAAGAGCATGTCCAATTGTGGGAATCAATTGGATCGTAAAATGAACTCTCTCTCATGCCACATAAAAAAGGCAGGGATTAAAAATTATTATCTCCAATGCTTGGTTCCTCAATTTTCAAGCCACAACTATAATTATAGAATATAGTAATAATTAAAATATCACATGTAAGAGATAAGAGGTTTAAAAAAAAGGAAAAATTACTCTGTAAAAAGTGAAGTGAACGGAAATGGGACGGCCCTGCGAGAGAGAAATAAGAGTTGGATTGGACTAATTTTTCTTCAGCAGTGGACATGCTCTAGGTCAAGTTGCTCTCTATGGAGTATCAGTGTTTTGGGCCGAGTAATTTAAAGGTCTAGAAACTTAAATTTAAAGTAGTGAAATTTGCACTAAATAAGACTAAAACATAATGACTTTCCTAATGTAAGACTTAAACTTTTTTATTCCTTAAATATGACTTAATAATGACCTAGTGGGAGGAATAATATCCAGTAATGCTAGACATTTACTTGATTAATGACTACTTGTTAATGACCAAAAGTCCTACATTAGAAAATAAAAATATATGGTCTTATATTGGGAAGTCATTATGTTTTAATCCTATTTAGGTAAATTTCTCTTTAAAATACACATATTTTTAAAAGTTAATAGTGGATAATATTTTTCTTCTGTTCTAAAATTTTCATTTTAATTCTATTTTGTAGTCTCATACTCCGTATATTAAAATTTAAATATGATTTTAAATAAGTAAATGTTATTGAGTATACAAATTTGTTATATCAAAAGTATTACATAATGACTTAAACAAGACTAAAACATAATGACTTTTCCTAAATAGTACTATATATGTTTTTTCTTAATGTATTACTTTTAGTAATTTTCCATTAGTCATTATTTAGGTAAATGTTCGTCATCATTAGACATTATTTCTCTTTTTAGACATTATTAAGTACTCCGTACTATTTAGGAAATAAAACAATTTAAATAATATTTAAGGAAATGACTTAAGTTTTAATATTATTTAGTGCAAATATTTCTAAAACCAAAATTATACTCCGTATTAAATTTTATATAAGTGAAAATATTTTTTAATAATTTTTTGTCAAAGTGATAAAAAAGTTACTCCCTCCGTCCTAATTCTTTCTTCCCAAATTGACTTTTCCCCATTTTTAATTTTGGCTTTGACGTTAAGTTTTACCCTCCTTAAAAAAGATTTTTTGAATTTTTTTTACAATCATCCAAAATATAGAGTTAGAAGATAATTGGTGTAAATACATGAGAGTATTAATGTCATTTATCATCTTTTTTTTCCTGATGGGAAGGTAGTTTTAGAATGGAGAAAAAGGGGAAGTGGGAAGAAAGTTTTAGGACAGATGGAGTAAATTATAAGAGCACTGGTAATACGTTTGAAGCCCCGGGGCTTCAAACCGAGGCTTCAAACTTTCTCTCTCTGCCACGTCAGCTTTAACTTACACCCAAAATTCACTGGAAATGGGTTTGAAGCCCCGGGGCTTCAAAACTGGGCTTCAAACCTTCATTTTTACATTTTTAAATATACATCTTCTAAAATTAAATTAATAAAATGTATTTAATTTTTTATTTAATTAAATTGAAACACGAATAATAAAAAACACATTAATTAAATAAAAAAAAGCGACAATAATTTAAAAAAAAAAAGATACATTAATAAAACAACTAAGGAAAATTATATTTCTCCTTGATCTCTCTCATTCTTTGCTCGTAGATAATTCGTCCAAACTCTGACAACGTCGCGGGGTCGGTTTGCATGACTTTCATCTCGGCCTCCTGCTCCTTTAGCTTCAACTCCTTCTCTTTAAGCTTCATCCTCTCTTGTTCTTGGAGATTGAACGCCCGAAGTTGTTCAACCATTGCCCGGCCGATTTCGTCGCGGGGAGAAGCAGAAATAGAGGCGGACCCTCCCGAACCAGAGGCAATAGATTTTGCCTTCTTTCTTCCGATCGGCCGTGGAATGGGGTCCTCGTCATCGGAAACCGCAACGTTGAAGGAAGGGATTTGATCGGTAGAACCGATGGTCTCGTCGACCTCAACCTCGGCGTCGATGGTGGATCTTTTCCGGAATGATACGCCGTCGGGATTGTTGAGTTGTTGCCACTTCGGGGAACGACTCAAAATCTCCCAAAGATCGATGGGCACCTTGCCTTGGTTCCCGTCGTCTTGATACCGGGTCGTGGCAAGCCGGAGAACATCGGCGTCGTTCATGCCGCTCCTCCGGGACCGGGAGCATTCCTCGTATACTCCCATAAATTTTCGTACTTCTTTGTTGATGTGGCTCCATTTGGAAGTGAGTTGGTCACGGGTTCGGTAGGAGCCGTCCTTCTTCATCGCCGTGAAGAACTTCTCCTCGATACGATCCCACATCGCATCCTTCGTTTGCTCCGTACCTTTAAAAAAGTATATAATTATTTTTTTTTGACACCATTAAATATAATATATATAAATAAAAATATAAATATATTAGAAAAAACAAATT